ATGCTCCCAATTACCCACCACTATCCATGGCGGACCGTGCCAAAGGCAGTCTGGTGGGTTGCCGGGTGCTTTAATTACAGCCATGTCCCCGCGACCTGAAGATTCGCCCTTCTCCTACATACTTCCCCAAGTGTAACCAACCCTCGCTTGCCTTTTCACATCTATCATGGCCAGTATCGTCGCAGGGGGCCTTGAGCGCGCCCAAGAGGCCGTCAAGAGCGCTTCCAACAAGAACAAGAAGGCCGTAGACCTCGAGCGTGACATGGTTGATGTCACCACCGAACAGCGCCAGACCACCGATCACGGCGTCCCTATCAGCAACACTGACAATTGGCTGAAGGCCGTTGATGGCGATCACACTGGTCCCTCTTTACTTGAGGACCAGATCGCCCGTGAGAAGGTAGATTGATCCTACCCTCACACTTCGAAGCGAGCTTGATTACTGACGAATCCCGCCACCAGATCCACCGATTCGACCATGAGCGCATTCCCGAGCGAGTCGTCCATGCGCGTGGCACTGGTGCCTTCGGAAACTTCAAGCTCCTCGAGAGCTGCGAAGATGTCTCCTACGCTAACATCCTTAACGACACGTCCCGCAACACGCCAGTTTTTGTTCGCTTTTCGACCGTCCAGGGAAGCAAGGGCAGTGCTGATACTGTCCGTGATGTTCGTGGCTTCGCCGTGAAATTCTACACAGATGAGGGCAACTGGGATATCGTTGGCAACAACATTCCCGTCTTCTTCATTCAGGACTCCATCAAATTCCCCGACTTCGGTATGTTCGGTGCGCCTTCTTGTATAAAGCCCCGCTAACAAGACCCAAGTCCACGCGGTCAAGCCCGAACCGCACAACGAAGTGCCCCAGGCGCAGACCGCGCACAACAACTTCTGGGACTTCTGCTACCTCCACCCCGAAGCCACGCACATGTTCATGTGGGCCATGTCGGACCGCGCCATCCCCCGCTCCTACCGCATGATGCAAGGGTTCGGCGTGAACACCTACTCTCTCATCAACAAGGAGGGCAAGCGCCACTTCGTCAAGTTCATCTGGACCCCGCACCTGGGAGTCCACTCCTTCGTCTGGGACGAGGCCCTCAAGCTGGCCGGCCAGGACCCCGACTTCCACCGTAAGGACCTGATGGAAGCCATCGACAACGGCGCTTATCCCAAGTGGGACCTGCAGATCCAGACCATCCCCGAGGAGAAGCAGGACGACTTTGAATTCGACATCCTGGACGCCACCAAGATCTGGCCCGAGGACTTGGTCCCGCCGCGCACGATCGGTGTCCTCGAGCTCAACCGCAACGTGGACGAGTTCTTCCCGCAGACCGAGCAGGTCGCCTTCTGCACCTCGCACATCGTCCCCGGCATCGACTTCTCCGACGACCCGCTCCTGCAGGGCCGCAACTTCTCCTACTTCGACACGCAGATCAGCCGGCTCGGCATCAATTGGGAGGAGCTGCCCATCAACCGGCCGGTGTGCCCGGTGCTCAACCACAACCGCGACGGGGCCATGAAGCACCGGATCACCAAGGGCACGGTCAACTACTGGCCGAACCGGTTCGAGGCCGGCAAGCCCGACGGGGCAGCGCCGCACCACGGCCAAGGGTTCGAGTCGTACCCGGCGCCTGTGACGGGCCGCAAGCGCCGGGGCCTCAGCCCCAAGTTCCGCGAGCACCACAACCAGGCGCAGCTGTTCTACAACTCGATGAGCGAGCACGAGAAGCTGCACATGATGAAGGCGTTCAGCTTCGAGCTCGACCACTGCGACGACCCGGTCGTCTACGACCGCCTGGCCGGCACCCGGCTGGCCGAAATCGACCTGGGGCTGGCCCAGCAGGTCGCCGAGCTGGTCGGCGCCCCGATCCCGGACAAGGCGCTGCGGCCCAACCACGGCAAGCGCACCATCCGCCTCTCGCAGACCGAGTTCCCTCCCAAGGAGCCCACCATCGCCAGCCGCCGCATCGCCATCCTCATCGGCGACGGCTACGACCCCGTCGCCTTCAAGGCCGTCCAGCTGGCCGTCAAGGCCGCCAGCGCCCTCCCCTTCGTCATCGGCACCAAGCGCTCGCCCATCTTTGCGGAGGGTGAATCCAAGGAGACGGGCCAGGGCATCGTGCCCGACCACTACTACGACGGCATGCGCTCCACCATGTTCGACGCGACCTTCATCCCCGGCGGGCCCCACGTCGACACCCTCCGCAAGAACGGCCAGATCAAGTACTGGATCGCCGAGACCTTCGGTCACCTCAAGCCCCTGGCGGGCACGGGCGAGGCCGCCCAGCTGATCAAGGAGGTCGTGGGCAGCGTGCTGGACGTGCAGGTCGCGACCGCCGAGAACCCGGACCCCGTGGAGTGGTACGGCGTGGTGACTGCGGGCGGCGTGCAGAAGCCCGAGAGCATCGGCGAGACGATCAAGATCCTCAAGGACGGGAAGGACTTTGTGAGCAAGTTCTTCTACCAGGTCAGCCAGCACCGGAACTACCAGCGCGAGTTGGATGGGTTGGCTTCTACGGTTGCATTCTAAGTCTGGTTGTCGAGTTCGTGGTCAGTTTTGTTTGGGGTTGTGGATTGTATCTTGGACATGTGTAGGCTAGTATGTTAATAATCTGTATGACTTGACGATTTAATCCGATGTGTGTGGATTGCTGTTGTACGACGTAGGATATACCTGGTCGTGTTATGGCAAAGGCAACGCAATGGGTACTTAAGATGGAGACAAGGCTACTGGATGCCCTACGCCGGCAAAATATGGTATGCCAACTGCGCCCGTCGAGGAGCAACATGACGATATAGCTGGACATGCAACGCATATAACCGACAACAAAAGACCATCCATTAAGAAGAGTAGTAAAAAAGAAATGTTCCTACCCCTATGAACACCCACCGGGAACAGCCACCGCCATGCCAAGCCAAGCGAGCAACGGTCACCATGCAAAAAGATATGACAAGAGTGGGATTCGAACCCACGCCATCAAACGATGATCAGGAAGCTTGTGAAAGCTGAATGCTAAGGTAACCTTAACCTGACGCCTTAGACCAACTCGGCCATCTTGCCTTGATGTGTTACTGCCGAGGGTTTTGCTTATATGATGCTGAGAACAAACCAAGCCAGGTGGAAGATGTGCCAACTTCTGGTAGAACTGGTCGGTCCTCGGAGGGTTTATTTGTTGCTGGGTGTGGTATTTAGTGTCCTCTGTGGACTTTCACTATCGATTGACCTTCTATGTGGTCTTTCTGGGGTTGTTGATGGGAGTGGGCTGGAATCGTGAGAGCTTGCTCGAGGTATATATTCTTCTCATGGCCGATGCCGACGATGTCGCTGGAGAGACACGCACAGATCCATTTATGCATCGGATAGAGCTTGAAGAGTGAATAAGCAGTATCAAATCCCACTCGAATGTAAGATTGAGTCCATACAACAGATGCCAGAGGCACTCGTGGAAGTTACCACTATGATCTATCAAGCCCGGACAAGAAGGGAGGCGGCACCCACCACCACCTCAAGTCCAAGGTCGATTCCATCGACAACAACTCGACCACACCTGAATCGACATGCTCTCCCATGAACCCAAGCTAGAGTCAACCTGGAAATAATGCAGTCACTGAGCGCTGTAACAGAGCCCAATGAGCGAATCATCTGCCCCCAACCTAGCCTAATCCGCCCGACCCCATGAAGTCATCCTCATGTCAACATCCCCCAACGCACTATATATCCAGCTACCCAGCTCCATCCCACCCAGCCTTCCCACTCACACCTCCCAAGCTTCACCGACTCAAGTGCACCTCACTACCCCACCACACATAACCCCACTACACACATATACCAGGGCAGCAAAATGTCCTTCCCAACCTACAACCTCCGCCGCCTCGCCCTCACCCACACCCCCCTCGCCCAGCGTAAGCCCTACCCACCAGCCCAAACCCCTATACCACCACCCAACGCTAAAGCAAACAGGACCACGCACAACCCCAGCCGCCGCCGCCGCCGCCGGCGGCGCCTCAGCAGTCAGGAGACTAGCAAGCAGAGCCTCCCCGGGCCAAACCTCCAACGTCGCCAACCCGCAATCCAGCAGCCCGGAATCGCAATCCATCAACGTCGCCCGCGGCAAGCAGGCGCGCCACGCCGACACCCCCGACACGGCGTCGGTGCAGTCGCCCATCTCGTCGCAGTTCGGGCCCACGAGCGAGGCCCACGAGGGCGAGGAGCAGACCTCCGCGGACGCGCAGATCAAGAATCACCCTGGGGAGTCGGAGGCGACCAAGCGGCGGAATGTGGAGAGGGCGGGGGAACGGCCTTTAGGGGCGGAGGATCGGCAGTGATTTTTTCTTGGGGGTTGTTCTGTACATATGGGAGGGGAGGGGGGTTGGATGATGGGTTTTGATTGTGATTGTAGGTGGTAGATGTGGAAAGATGGGGTTTTTCGAGGGGTCTACGGTTGATGTACTGTACGATGGATACGATACAGATATTATCTTGTCTAGTTGGATCTTTATCTGGGATGTATCTTGAAATTGGCGACGACTAGAATTGTTGTATGACCGAGAAGCCAGGAATCTGCACGGTTACTTCATCCAGCATGAGCATTGCGTGGGTCACAGACCTGGACCGAGACTACGCTCGGCCCCGATTAGGGTTGTGGGGGTGTCTCATGCAGTGGACTCTGCAGTCCCCGTAGGCGCTGACGGCGCGATGACGGCACCAGATGCCCTTACCCTAAGCTCCCTCCCTAACCACGCCATCGCAGATCTCCCCATCCAAGATCCGGTCTCCATTCTATGTGTATGTCATCCACCTTGCGTCTTGATGATCCGTTCCTTTATCTGTGCCCCCCAAGATTAAATACAAAAATGAAAGAGTAATAACAATCACACCGATAATACTCATAGAATTAGAAATAATTAGACTCCCGCATCGACCCAGAACCTCATCACACCAGCCACACCAACAACGGTGCACTCTTCTACCATCGCAAACCCAACCCAACACGAACGACAAAATGGCAGATAGCATGGACTTCCCCAAATCCCTGACCCTTGAAGACGCAGGCGGCAGCAGTGTACGCCCCCGATCTTCCCCCTCACAAACATCAAAAATCCCAATTCCCCTCTCCTACCTCATACTAGGTACCAAGCTAACCCCCCCGAAAAGTCCCAAGGCTCCCGCCCCACCCAACAAGACCAATACACAATCCTCCGCCCCGACGCCTTCGAAAGTAAGAACGACCAGCTCGCGCTCTTCGCGGTCTACGATGGCCAGTACGCTTCCCCTTTCCTCACATCCACATCCATTCCCACCGACTAACAGGTAAACAACCAGCGGCTCAAGCAAAGTTGCCAAACACGCCCGCGACAACCTCCCCGTCTTCCTGCGACACAGTCCCGACCTCCCGACGGCCGAGTACGAGAAGGCGATCGTCGAGGCCATCCGGCGCGAGGAGGAGCAGCTGCTGCATGAGTTCTGGGAGGGGGAGGATAAGCATGCGCTGGCGGGGACGACGATGGCGCTCGCGATCGTGAACCTCACGCGGGGCGTGTTGGTCGTCGGGAATGTGGGGGATTCGGATGTGTTGCTGGGGGAGGAGGGGGGTGCTGCTGGGTGTGGGACGGGGATGGAGGTGGTAGGTTCTTACCCAGTCCCTGGGATATGGGGTGGTGCTGATGATGATGGTGGGAGCAGACGAGATTATCGACGACGCATAAGCCCGAGAGCGACGGGGAGAAGCATCGGGTTGAGTTGGCGGGCGGGACGGTCAATACGGAGAGTGGGACGGCGCGAGTGGGTGAGTCTTCCCTTTCCTTTCACACTTTGGGGCATCCGAACCCGGGCTGAGGTCCCTCACCAGGAGCGCTGAACATGTCCCGTGCCCTGGGCGACCTGCGCTACAAAACCCCCCTCAACAACATGACCCAGCGTGCCAAGAGCGGCAGCGGCAGCGGCAGCTCCGAAGGAGGGACCCCCTCCGCCGCCCACGACACCCCCCCGCAGCGCGGCGACTTCATCTCCAGCGAGCCCGCCCTCAACCGCGTCGACCTCCGCGACGATCGTCGCTATGTGCTGGCCCTGCTGTCCGATGGCGTGACCAATGTGCTGGATGACGCGACCATCCTCAACCGCATCGTCGAGCTGCGGCAGTCCGGGTTCGACGCGACGCGGGCGGCGCAGAATATCACCGAGGGGACGACGGCGCTGCCGGGCAGTGATAACGCGACCTGCGTGACGGTTTTTCTGGAAGGGCCGAAGGTTGGGCAATCATGACCCGAGCCTTAATCTAAAGGTTAGATGAGGTGATGTGTGAGGTGGTGAGGTGGGCGGGGGCGTGCATATTAGATAGCATTGCATTGCGTGCATGCATAGCATAGGTGCATTTCACAGGACATCCGGATGCGATTGGATCAGTGGGATGATACACAATACAAACCTAGGGTAGTAGCAGCCAAGGTTCAACGCACTGCAACATGGATGAATCATGGATCTAGACACCCCCCCCCCCCCCCCCCCCCCCCCCGCGACCAATGATCATCGCCGGAAGCGATAGCCGAGGCGATCAGCGTGGCCCGGTCACAATGAGATCAGCCTATACTAGTACCATAGAACCTTGGCTAGTAGCACCACCACATGTTCACGTCATGCTTAGCATCCAGCAGACAAGAAATATATAGATTATCCCGCGATGTAGCCCGGATGGAAACTCCCCGTCAAGAATTACTCAATTGCACCTACCATGTTCGAGAATATCGTCACCCCCCAGCTGAAGAGCCGGCCGCAGCGCCCTGCCCCCACCTTCGGCCCCTTGGCCACAAGCAACATTATCGACATCCGGACGGACAAAAGCGAGAGCCAGCTCCGAAAGTCGCTGCAGGACTCCGTGCATGCCGCGTGCCATGGACAGGCCGCCATGCCCGACTTGCTCCTCTGGGACGAACAGGGGCTGCGCCTGTTCGAGGAGGTGACCTTCTCCCCGGCCTATTATTTGACCAACGAGGAGATCGGGCTGTTGGAGAAGCACCAATACCAGATCGCGGAGCATATCCCCTCTGGAAGCATGCTGGTTGAACTGGGCAGCGGGTGAGTCGCGAGTGGCCCCTCCTGGGCTGTCGTCCGGAGAAGAACGACACTGACCGAGCAAGCAACCTCCGCAAGGTGAAGATCCTCCTCGAGGCGCTCGACGCGCTAGGCCGCGAGGTCGACTACTTCGCCCTGGACGTCTCCTTCGCCGAGCTGCAGCGCACGCTGAGCATGGTCCCGCCGGGCATCTTCCGGTACGTGCGCTGTTTCGGGCTGCTGGGGACCTACGACGACGGCCGCGAGTGGCTGCAGCGGTCGGACCTCCGCGCCCGGCCGAAGACCATCCTGTCTCTGGGCTCGACGCTGGGCAGCTTCCCCCGGGCGGACGCCGCCGGGTTCCTGGCCAGCTTCGTGCACGCGCATGCCGGCACGGGAAGCAGCCCGTCCTTTTTAGTTGGGTTGGATGGATGTAAAGAGCCGGCACGGGTGCTGGCGGCATACAATGATCCCGAGGGGGTGAATCGCCGGTTCATCACGCATGGGCTGGAGCGGGCGAATGAGATTCTCGAGCACGAGGCATTTGCGCTCGATCGCTGGGATGTGGAGGGGCAGTGGAACGTGGAGAACGGCAGCCACGATCAGTTCTATGTTTCCACTGGGGAGGTGGATCTGGCCGGCAAGAGAGTCTCAGCGGGGACGCGCATCCGAGCGGTGCGGAGCCACAAGTACGATGGCGATGATCGGATGGCGCTCCTTGGGAGGGCCGGGTTGGAGGAGGTCGATGCGTGGGCATCGGGGAGTCGGTATCGTGAGTGCAGCCGCATCCTGTGAGAACCAGCGCTAACTGATGTGCAGATCTGCTGTTTTTGAGCAGCTGATAGAGATAGACAAGGTTGTTTTGAGCTGATAGACATATCCGTACCTGATGTGATGATTCTCCTGCGCATCTCATGATAATACCTGCAGAACCTGGCTGTCTGGTCGTCCGTAGAGCTGCAACTATGCAAACATGCAAACATGCAAACATGCAAACAGACCAAATCAATGACGACAGCAAATGTCAGATCAGCCAAACAGCACCAACAGTGCAAACACCCCGCATCGGCCAATCAGGACATCCCCGCATTCTCGAAGGATGCTTTGCAAACATCCCCATCTCATGATGGTGTTTGATTCAGTTGAGGGATTCGGAGTATATAACAGCATCAGTTGCCTTGATAAAATGATGCAAAGTACGCAGTATCTGTTGAGCCCTCATCTATCATCCCCATCCTTATATTGATTTTAAATCCATCTGAACTCACCTCCTTAACCTTGGATTCACATTGTATAAGTTATCAACCCTACACTCAACCATACTGTAATCACATCCCACCATGGCCATCACCGCAGCCCTAACTCAACCCACCATTCTCCCCCCCGCCCTCCGCCCCGGCGACACCATCGCGCTGGTCTCCCCGTCCGCCCGCCTGAACAGCATCCTCCCCACGCCCCTCCACCGCGGCCGCCTCTTCCTAGAATCCCTCGGCTTCCGCGTGCGCATCATCTACACCCCCTACCCCGAACCCAGCACCATCGCCGACTCGATCCGGATCCGCACGGGGGAGCTGCACGAGGCCTTCGGGGACCCGACCGTCCAGGCGATCATCTGCACGATCGGCGGGCAGCACGCCAACGAGCTGCTCCCGCACCTGGACTACGAGCTCATCCGCGCGAACCCCAAGATCTTCGTCGGCTACAGCGACACCACCTTCCTGCACTACGCGCTGGAGTCGCGCGCGGGGCTGCGCACCTTCTACGGGCCCAGCGTGCTGACCGACTTCGCCGACGTGCATCCGCTGCCCTTGACGGTGGAGCATCTGCTGCATGTGCTGACGGGCAGCCAGGGGGCCGGTGGGGCGGTGGGGCTGGTGCCGCGATCGCCGCGCTGCGCCGTCGAGCACAACGATTTCCAGTTCGGGCGCGATGCCTCGGTCGAGCCCCGCGTGACGGGGCCCGCGCCGCCGTGGCGCTGGGTGAGACGCGGTCGTGCCGAGGGCAAGCTGTACGGCGGCACGGTGCATATCGTCGAACGGCTGCAGGGGACGGTGTTTGCGCCGGCCTCGTGGCAGGGCCATGTTCTGCTGCTCGAGTCGGCCACGGGGTTCGATACGATCGAGCGCCCGTATTCGGTGGCACGGTTCAGGGGCAACTTGGTGGATTTGGCGTTGTCCGGGGTGCTGGGGGAGATTAGTGGGTTGGTGGTCGGACGGGGGTATAAATATGATGAGCGCATGCAGGAGGAGTTGGCGGCGGTGATTGTGGAGGTGTTGGACGTGGTGGTCGGCAGGAAGGATGAGCTGCCGGTGTTGATGAATGTGGATGTGGGCCATACCAGTCCGTTTGTCACGCTGCCGTTTGGGGCGAGGGTGAGGCTGGATTCGGAGAGGGACGAGTTTGTGGTCTTGGAGGCGGGCGTGTCGACTAGTACTTAGTCTGGATTGGTGTATTGAGGGTTATTTCTAAGTTCTCTGAGTAATAGCAGTGAATAGCATATGGTACTGTTTACCTAATAGAGTAACACCTCCCCTCCCATCATCCTTACATCATCCCCGCACGCGGAGATCTCCTGCCACCATCTCTGCATCCACAACACAACTGGAACTCTTCCCCACGAACAACCACAACGGACTCCTACCACAACAGCAACATGAGCTTTCTCGACGTCCTCCACAAGATCGCAGACGACCTGCTGGCCCGGGTCAAAATGGTACGTAGTCCTCCCACCCCTCCCGTATCCAAGCCCACTAACCTCTCAGATCCAAAACCGCCAAGTAGGATGGCTCACCATCAACCGCAAGGTCAACTTCCTTCTCTGTTGCCTCAAACAAAGTTAACAGACCCAGACCGGCCAGCTCGTCCGCGAACAGCAACCCCTCTGGAAGAAACTCAAACTCCTCCTGCTGTTCAACCCTCTCACCGAATGGCTGGACACCACCCACCTGATGCGCCTATACATGCACCGCGAAGCAATCAAAGAGGGTATTTCCTTTCCTTTTCCTCCCCTAAACCCCCATGCTAATGGCGGACAGGCCAAGAAGAAGCCACCCCGACCTCGCGCAACCGCATCGCCGCCTTCATCGCCTTCTACCACATCGACATGACCCAATTCGACCCCTCGGATATTTCGGCCTACCGCAACTTCGAGGACTTCTTCGTCCGCGCGCACCGGCCCGGCTCGCGACCGATCTTCGAGCCCGATAACCCCCGAACGGCAGTTGTTGTGGCTGACAGCCGCGTCGTGGCGTACGACTCCGTCGCAGAGAGCCAGAAGGTCTGGATTAAGGGGTGCGACTTCTCGATCACCAACCTGGTGATGGACCGGCGGCTGGGGGCGCAGTTCGACGGCAGCGCGATCGCGAGCTTCCGCCTCTCGCCGCAGGATTATCACCGTTTTCATTGTCCGGTGCGTGGGACGGTGACAATGTATAGGGGTATGCCTGGGGATTACTACGAGGTGGATCCGATTGCGTTGCGGAGTGGGGTGGATATTCTGACGCGCAATGCGAGAGACTATGTTGTGGTGGATAGTGAGGAGTTCGGGGAGGTGCTGTTTGTGGCGATTGGGGCTGCGCAGGTCGGGACTGTGAGGTTTGTTTCCCCTGGGTATAGCCAAAGGGGTGGAGATGCTGATGTGTGTCGGTAGGATCCACGAGCGGTTCCAGCAGCCGGGGGCTCGGATCGAGAAAGGCGAGGAGTTGGGACATTTCCAGTTCGGGGGGTCGTCGATCATCGTCGCCTTCCAGCGGGGGCGGATCGTCTTCGACGAGGATCTGCTGCGGGCGAGCAAGAATGCCATCGCCACCGATGTGGAGGTGGGCATGAGTCTGGGACGGGCGGGGGAGAAGGCGTAATCTTCTACAAGGATTTGATACTATCTGCGCGAATTTGATACCAAGACCAGCCCAGCAGGTCTATGTCTATGCAATTATATCCATCTATCCTCCGCTCTGCCCATTCCCATCCCCGCTGCTCCGCCCCTCCGCCAACGCCCGCACATCGCGCGCCACCTCCCTCAACGCCCGCATGGCCGCCTCGCTCCACGGCGCCATCTGCAGAAACCCATGACACAGCTCCGCATAATGCCGCCACACGACCGCATTGCCCGCGGCCTGGAGCTTGCTCGCGAACTCCACCCCGACATCCCGCAGCGGATCGAAGCCACACGTATACACCCTGGCCGGCGGCAGTCCCTGCAGCTGGTCGGGGGGTTGCATCCCCGGGGAGATATACCGACTGGACGGCGCCACCCCGTCGGGGATGTAGTTAGCCGCGAAGTTGAAGATCCCGTTACCTGCGTGCCCATGTTAGCATCGCATCCCACTTCAGCCCAGCTTTCATGAACCATAAACAGAAGAGCAAAGGGCACACAGCCCCGTAAACACATCAATAAAAGAGAAGGACATGCAATCCAAATACAACCCCGCCCCGTCATTATTCTCCACCGCGGCGGGTGTATCGAACGGCAACCTTGCCTCGGGGTACAGTAGCACCAACCCATCCAACCCCTTCTGCTTCCGATCCACTCTCCGGAGAGAAACCGCCGCCGTCATGTTCCCGCCGGCACTGTTCCCGCCCCCGAAGATCCGGTCCGGGTCGACGTGGCGCGCCTGCCCGCCCTCCCCGCGCAGCCAGTCGATCACCGCGTCGTACTCGTCCAGCTGCGTCGGGTACGTCCACTCCGGTGCCAGCCGGTACTCGACCAGGTAGATCTGGATGCCGGCGGCTTCGGCGAGGAGGCGGCAGCCTGGCTCGAAGTCGTCGCCGCTGCCGACGGTGTACCCGCCCCCGTGGAAGTAGATGAGGGCTGGGGCCAGGTTTTGCGGGGTCGGGCTGGCGGTGTCGGTGTCGGAGTGGCGGTGCGGGGTCGCGGCCGGGCGGGACGGGTACAGGATGCGCAGGGGGATGGTGCCGTGCGGCCCGGCGGGAATGGCGGTGTGCTCGACGTGCAGGATTGAGAGCTGTTTTGATGTGGGGATGTTGCGCAGGCTGAAGGTCTGGACGTGGTGGCGTCGTTCTTGGAAGATGTCGCGGCCTGAGAGCCGGAGAGTCGGGTTTTGGGTGAGGAAGGCTTGCACTTCCGGGTCGAGGGTGCTGCGGGGCGCGGTTTGGGGGATCATTTTGGCGTGGTTTTGGGTTCAAGGGTTCGAGGGTTCAAGGTGGTGAGCAGGTGTAGGGTTGCTTATGGGCCAGGGAGTGGTGGTGGTGGTGGTGCTTGTTTATATGCTTTCAGTTAGGGTATAGATCTGGTGGGGCCTGTGAAATCAACCCAACGTCATTGTTCTCGGAAGCAGCGGACATACACTACATTACTCGATACTAACACAGAATTAACTACCTAGTACTCATTAATCATAAATTCAAGATGAAGCATATCCCACTACTGCACACTACTCCTTCTCATCCGCCTGCTCCCCCCGCACCGGCAGCCCCGCCGCGCGATACAACCGATCAATGCACTCCATCTGCCAGATGCTCTCCTCGCCGGGGATCCAGTACGCGGGCGTCCTCCCGCGCACCGCATCGACAAACGCCTCCAGCTGCCACCGATACGTACTCCACGCCGACTGGCCGCCGCGCGCCCCGTCGCTGGTCGTCATGTTGCCCCACAGCGGACCCCCGCGATACTGCCGGTGGGACCTGGTCTTCCCCGTCGTCTTGTCCGTGATGGCGATGTAGTGGTACAGGTGCGGCATCATCGCGTTGTAGAAGAAGATGATCGCCTTGTCCGTCTCCACCTCGATCGACGGCAGCTCCCAGAACCGCGGCACCAGGCCCCCCGCCGCCCACGCCCGCGCCATGTCCGTGTAGATCCGGCTGTGCACTTCGCGGCCCTGCGCGTCCTCGAAGGTCACGTACGCGTACATCGCCTCGTCGACGCGCGGGTCCGCCGCCGAGCGTCGCGCCGTCACCGAGTGGATCGTCTTGGGCAGTTGGCTGCGCAGCGCGTAGCGCGTGAACGAGAGCGCGTACGTCATGTCCATTGCGGATCCGCCTGCGCTTGTGTCAGGATGCAGTTACCTAAACATAAAAGATGAAGGAATAAAGAAAAAGAGGAGGACAGGGAGTGCAGACCCGCAAGATCATACTGCCACCGGATATCCCCCTTGGGCACCCCGGGACTGGCGGTCATGATGGCCTCGGTCCGGATGATGCGGCCGTACTCGCCGGATTCGAGGATGTGGCGGAAGGCGTGCGCCGCGGGGTGGAATTGCCAGTGGAACTGCGCGCAGATCAGTCTATGCTGCATTCATAATAAATGCTGCATGCAAAGTCTCGAAGAGCGAACGCACCGCTTCCTCAATCGTCACCCCCTTCTCCTTGGCCTGGTCGATCAGCGCGCGCGCCTCCTCCGCGTTCGAGGTGAAGGGCTTCTCGCAGAGGACGTGCTTCCCCGCCTGGATCGCCTTGGCCGCCCATTCGTAGTGCAGCCCGTTCGGGGTCGAGATGTAGACGATGTCGACGGCCGGGTCGTCCAGCAGCGCCTGGTACGAGTCGTGCGACCGGGTAAAGTGGTACTGCTTGGCGGCGTGGGCGGCTGTCGCGGCGTCGCGCGAGGCGATGCTGTAGAGGATCACGTCGGGGTGGGTTTCGACGGGATGAATGACTGCGTAGGTAAGTATGGGAGACATATGGAGGTGTTGGGATCTGGTGGTGAGGCGTACCAGCTGCGGCGTTGATCTGGGCGGAGGATAGCACGCCGAGCCTGAGGGCATTCGGCGACTTCTGCGGCGCGGAGTGCAGAAATGCGCCCAGGTACTGGTGGAGGAATGTTGCGCCTTGAAGAACGAGAGCCATCTTGCTTCAGTTCGTTGCCGATATCAAGGTAGCAGTGACCTTTGTCGAGTTGAGAAGAGTGTTCCTAAGTTGATGTTTATGTGAGGTGGGCGGAGAGCGATAAGAGCGGAGTATAAGTTGTGAGTGATGACGTTGACAGCCCGTCACTCTTGCACTGGTCGACAGGTCCAGTGTGGACAACGCTTGAATGGTGTAACTTTCGTCTCTTCCAATCGTATTGATCAGTGTAATCACCTAGCATATGGTGCGTTGTGTTGTGGTCTGATTACAGGGCCTAGTCTGGATGTCCACGATTGACGGTCGGTTGACGTCTTGTGTACATTGTTTCAGTATGATGCATTCTTCAGGTTGATTTGGAAGGTTGGACTCTAGGAGGAAATCACATCGCTCCACTAGTCAGTCAGTCAGTGAGGCTCGGGATATACAAGTTGGAACTTCACCATCCTCACCTTGGGACATCTCATCACATAGTGTTGAACTGTGAATGAGTCCAACTTCATTTCAGGCTACAGCAAGTAGTAGAAACATTTGGCATAAATAAAAGGCATATTATATCAATTGGCCGGATGGTGTAGTTGGTTATCACGTATCGTTAACACCGATAAGGTCCTGGGATCGAGCCCCAGTCTGGTCATTGCTTTTTGCTTTTGCATCTGCATTTTGCCACCCTTGCTATCTTATCGCTGGCCGTCCGACCCTGTCACATCAACCCCTCTCGGTTGATGCTAGCTATTTATGCATCTGTCCTAGGTGCACTTGGTGCACATGGTGCACCAAGTCAATGGCCGTCCTTGAGACTTGGACCCTCTTTTGGCCCCCACGAGTCTACCTCAAATCTCAGGTTCATCTCTTCCGAGAATGGGATCTAGTCTGCCCCTCTAATCTTATCACACCCAATGAGCATAGCCCTAAACCCCCTGATCTGGGAACATGCTCGGATCCTCCCCTGATCATCTCGTACTTCTCAATCTACGTGCAACGCCCGTTATATGAATGCAGCTACGGCTCATCTTTCTTGTCTGCTAGCATTCCTGCTTTGCATTGATCACAATGGCACTCACACCAATTCCAAGCGCCGCACTAAGCCGAATGTACAAGCCACCACGACTAACCGCCGCAGACTAAGCGCCGACCCTGAAACGGACTTGCAGCTATGACCAATGCACCCTGTGCCGCCCTAGACTGTCCCCGATGGCTTTGCCCCTCAGCTCAGCCTTGCACCTCGCTTTCCCTATTGTTGTAACCTTCCCCTCTTTTACCACCCGCATCACTCTTGCTGTGAAACCACAGCAGCAGCAGCAGCAGCAGGACCGGGCTCCTCACCCGCGCAACATATCCAAACATGACAGCATCACATCTTCTCTCCCTCCTCGCGCTCCTCGCGACAGTCACCTCAACGCAGACAGCAAACACCACCTTCAGCAAACGCGGCTCCGTACTGACAGACCTATCCGGTGGATTCTGTCGGAGCTATCAATTCGGCGGTACGCTCATCCCTCCTTCTCATCCATGTTCATCAACTAAAACAAGGTATCTGCAGTAAATATCGCCAATGATGTCCTCTACATGGTCGACCTGGATGGCGGCCTCGTCCCCGACGACGGGAACAGTTCCCGTGCGCCCACCCTCCCGAACCCCCCGAGGAGATCATTCGGATGTTGACGAAAGACAACAGATAACTACATGCTGCAGCTGGATTTGAGCCAGTCATTCTCGATGAACGATGGCGCAAACTACAAGATGAGTCTGGTGGACGCGCAGATCCCCGTGCTGAAGGATCAGGCGCTGTGGTCCAGTCGCGATAACAGTTCCCTGTTCTTGTATGGTGGACGGCGGGCGAGCAATATCAGTCTGGATGAGAAGGTGTGGAAGTATGAGGTGCAGGGGGGGAAGTGGGAGGTGCAGGAGACGAGTGCGGTGCCTGTGCGGTATGATGGTGGAGGTGAGTGGCCTTTTTCTCTTATCGGGGAGGAGGGTTGGGGTTAATGGTGGAATGGGCTGGTGCTGATGGTGCGATGTAGTGAATGTCAACGTGCCTGAGCTGCAGAGCGCGTACTGGCTCGGTGGGTATCAGGATTCCTCGACAACAACCGCCATCACCGATAGTCGGCGGATGTATGCGACCAGCATGGTGGAGTTCAACACGACAACCGGCGAGATCGCCGAGATCGAGTCCCCCGTCACGCCTGTGCAGGACGGAGCGTTGGTGTATATCCCCGTCGGAGAGAAAGGGCTGCTGGTGTTTCTGGGCGGGGAGACGCCCTCGATGGTCAACGGCACCAATGCGACTATGGCTGTGGTGAGAGCAAGCGGCATTGAACATGGGCACGAGCCCAGCTGACGGAATCCCTGCAGAATAGCTGGAACTATGTTCAGGTATACGACATCGCCTCCGGCAGCTGGTACAACCAGTCGACGAGCGGCAGCGTGGCCTCGCGCACGCAGTTCTGCGCCACCGTCCAGCACGATCTCTCTTCCGCCTCGTATCAGATCTATGTGCTCGGCGGCGCCGACTATCACTCCCAGGACGTGATCACCGACGTGGATTACCTCTCCATCCCCTCCTTCAAGTGGTACAACGCCGCCGGACTCAGTGAAGGCCGGATGACGCTCAGCTGCCAGGCTTATGGAAGGCAGATCTTCGGGGTCGGCGGCCGTCTCGCCTGGGCTGACGATTCGGACGCCGGTTGCTACACCATGCCCGCGTTTATCTACGATGCGCAGTCCGAGGTGGTTCGGTCGGGGTTTGACGTAGGTTGCCTAATTTAGCCAACTGACACAGTCTGTGCTGATCGGAAGATAGCCCGGGTTAATGACATACTCTCTCTCGTCCGCTACCGCGGCGGACATCAAAGCCTCGCCATATCCCTCCAGTTGGGCCAGTCCAGCATTGAAGGAGCTGTTCGTCTCGCAAACCAACACCACATCAGCAACGGCTTCGCCCTCTCCGACGAGCAGTAGTGGAGTAGGCTCACACTCACACGCAGGAGCGATAGCCGGCGGAGTGGTGGGCGGAGTGGTCGGTCTTGCTCTGCTCCTCGCCTTGGGGTATCTCTTCCTCCGACGGCGGCGTCGGGCTGTGTCTCAAACGGAGGAAAGCCTGCCAGTTGCTGCAGGTAGTTGGGAGAAGGCCGAACTCCCCACCTCGGGGTGTACGGTCAGTGAGGTGTCGGGCGAAGCGGCGGCGAGCGAATTGGAGAGTGAGCAGCTTATGACACGCCACGAGCTGGCCGGGAGCAACGAACGTGTTTATGAGCTGGATGCGCAGGGAGCGGGTCAGAGGTAATGTTAATTGTTTTTTTCTTTTGAAATACAACAGCGTCGATGCGATGCCACTATGTACAGTTAAAGTGGAAAATCGAAAGTTCTTTCGAGATGATAATATTGATATATAGCCTGGTTTGTTCCATATCACACCGGGCTTCTACAATCACTCTTATTCTTTTGATATGGATCTCCAATTGTGAAGCACATCGGTCTAGATATAATGATATAAGTCCTCAAACAGATTCGCCAGCCAGTAAAAAGGGCTCGGTTCCCGAATCAGGCGCTCGGCAAGGGTTGGTCGATGCTGTCTGATATACTGAACGGCGTCCCTCGTTGCGTCCGTGACCAAGGTGACTAGCTCGGGCTCGAGGGCCAAGAGCTCACATACCTGCTCGTCGGAGAACCGATTTGTGGCGTCCGTCCAGAACAGCGTCCCGAGCAGTTTGTGCCATTCGAAGCCCAGCTGCATCAGATCGGTTCCATTGACGACCGCCATCTGCACCAGGGCCGGGCCATCCTCCATCTGATATAGACTGTAGATTGTTTCACAGAGTGAGGCCCTTGCACCGTAGGCCAGGGCCAGCCTGGTTCGTTCCGCGTCCCCGGGCTGGGGGTACTGGCCTTCGAAGTAAAGACACCGGTGCTCTCGCCCAACCCAGTCCAGCGCAGTGCCGGCACCTCGAATCCCCTCCTTCCGATCTGTTTCGTCCAGGTTGGGATCCGCGCCGTGCTCGAGCAGGAGCCGGACGATCGTCGTATGTCCGTCCCGGTTCCCGATGCACAACGCCCAATGCAGCAGGGGCTTGTTGATACTCGGCCTGGCCCCCAGCCCAAATCGGAGGTTGGGATTGCCCCGGGCCTTCAGATAGTTCTGCACCAGGTCGATCTGGCCCCGTTTGATGACGTGGTACAGCCGAGGGTACCGCTTCCATCTTTTGGGATGAGCTTCCACCGCGATTGATGCCCCCTGGTCATCTTGCCGCATCCTGGCTTCGATGTCGGCGGCCGTTTGCGACTCCCACTCACCCCCCCAGTAGTTGACGGTCGCGAGCGCCCACTTGTGGGCTTCGTGGGCGCGCTCCAGCTCCTCGCTGAACTTGTTCTTCAATTCCTTGCACGTCCGGCTCAGTCGGCTGAGGGTCCTAGCGTCCAGGTAGGAGGCATACTGCAGATGCAGTTCGTTAGGCAGTTTGATTAGAGGATTAGTTGGTTGTTCATCCATGGTGGTGAAACCGTAGGCCCGAGGGTTTGTGGGTTGTGACTCGACTACGAGATGCGATGCAATATATAATCGGAGTTGCGGAGTCCGGTTTCCAACGTTGTATCAGTATCCTTTCTAGTCACTTCTTTATATAACAAACAGCCAAAAGGATGCCATTCTTCGCATCAAAGGCAGTTAGGGAGTTCCCGCTAGACTATTATCGTTCGGTCTTTGGAGAATCTGTTACTAGTCAGAGAGATTCTCTTTTGGGGGCAGAGAACAAAGGTGTTCATGACATCTTCAATCAACCGGAAGAACTAGACATAGTGAAAGGTTGCTACTTGACTACTCTCATTGAATATGAATGCAAGATGTGTATTTTCTCGAACAGATGTATTAAGAGGATTCTATTTTTTGCTTGGTTGGTACTGCACAAATGGCCAGACATGGCATGACCACATAAGGACTTAGGGTTGGAGTTAGTGATTTCTGACCGGCTTAGGGACCGGCTGAGACCTTCTGGGAATATTCTCAGCGATATGAGGTCTCCGAGGTAAGGTGCTGAAACGTGTTCTTGATTTTCTTGGTAGTTGGAACTAGCTGAATCATCAATATCTGAAGCAGCCTGATAAGTGTATTATATTTTATAACCGGATTACCCAAACCAAGCAACACAAGCCGGATCATGGCCCGTCGAGCGCCTCCTGATAGATCTCACGCCCTCGCTCCATGATTCATGTGTTGGCCAGGTCGTCAATCCGAGGATGATCGATCACCTCCATGTAAACCGCGACTGCTGGGTGGTAGTTCATGATATCATCAAAGGACAATTGAACCGCTTCCTCCTGCAGACTCTGGAGATCCGGCTCTATGGCTTCCAGGCTCTCCAAGTACTCCCACAGCTCCAGCCATGCCGCATAGGCGGGACTCGGGTCGAAGGTCCGCCCAGCATCCAGCGCGGTGCGACCGTTATAGTCGAGGGCGTTGGGCCGGGCGCCGACCTCGAGCAAAAGGCGCAGAGTGGTGATGTCCTCCCTGAAGGCTTTCTGGCATTTAATAACCCCGTGCAGCAACGGCCCGCGAAGGCCGCGCGACCGCACGGTCGGCATAAGTCCGGCTTCCAGAAACCGTTGGATCTCCTCGCCCTTCCCCTCTCTCACCGCGTCTTCCAGTCGCTGCCGGTACCGATGCCGATCACGATTAAGTTGATACTCATACGTAAGGGTGCACGCATTCTGATGATCTCGGACATGCACAAGGATGTCGGGATGGTCCTCCGGGACCCTGACCCCGTCCCAGTAGTGGTCGTACGTTAGGGCATCCGCTTCGACGTGCTTGATGATCCTCTGGGCCTCATCCCGGAATACAGCCCTCAGGGCTTTGCAAGTCTTGCTGAGTCGGAATATGGATTGCCCATTGAGGTAACTGGTATAATGCAGATGGAGCTCGTTGGGAAGCTGGGGTAGCATGGCAGTCGTTGGTTGGGACATTTTGGATGAATCGATTTTGAGAAGACTGCGGAATTACTTTCCTCTACCGATTACGAGGGCTATAAGTAGCGGGTGATGGTTCTTTCCACGGTAAGAGCCTTGGTAAAGATGTCATAACTTTACCTTCTCCAATGTTGGGACAGGTGAATGAGACCTATAACTCCAATAAAGGGATAGGAACTACAAAAAACAACAATAGGTAACCGCACCACTGTTCCTTTGACCTTTTCCTTTGAGTCATCTATGCTATGGTGCTTGTAGAATCAAGCCTGGCAGACTAGGAGTGAACATAGTGGATGGCCCATAAAAGGTCATGGAGTAAGTGGTGAAGCATGGCTGGTCTACAACCTACGTAGTATTTTCACTTTTGCTGTACCTATGTGGTAAACACAGTCTTAGAATATAGATACAAAGTGCTCTCAATTGTGCTTGAGTCTTTATTTCGCGGCACTACAATCACAATTCCATGTCAGATGCCACGATAGATGGGCGTCCTGGCTTAGTGTCGGTAAGCGACAGAGTAACACATACTTCCCTTTCCACTCAGTCGGGAGCTGTGAGCCTTTATGATCCTTGGACCTTCCAATGTACATAGTGACATGACCAAGGGTAGACCGTCTTTGCGCTTGAGATGCGAAATCTATAACGAAAGCCAGCATTAAAGCACCTTGATGCTCTCCTGTCTATCTCAATTGTCTATTATGGAGTGGATTTACCTCAGCGCAATATTGATTCCGGTTAAGAAGCAGGAGGTAATCGGAAAGAAAAGAAATGTCGGATGTGTCGGTGACCGTTGATATCCGGGTGATTGCAAATTGGTCGAGCTCTTTCCCCGCATGATTGCTGGGCTTGCTTGACAGCCTATGGAGTTCGACATCATAAGATATCTCTCTCCTCCAATCCGAATCGCACCGACAGCGTAACAGTACCTCTCAGATGACCCCTACGCTCTGGTGACTCTGCGCGAGCACGATCAGCATGTAGAATTGGGCATTTGGGACACAGTGATATCAATCTTAGAGTTGGACGGACAAGTCCCCCAGGATGAGCCCTGAAACATGTCCCAGTAAATAACACCATATATCCACACGTACGACTTCGATCTAATGTACCTGATTATGTACAGTGATACCGAGTTAGTCAAAATAGCCCTATTCCGAAAACAACGGTCTTCGCCGAGGACGAGACTCTTAAATCCCGCCGGCATATTTTGAATACGTCTATTCTTTATTGGACGTGACCTCGGACACTACGATACTACCGACATTCGTAACGGTCAGCCAGGATGATGAGTAAATATAGCGCGAAAATCGCTGCTATCGTACTCACGACAGAGTTCGATAGCTATATAACCCTCTCACTGTATCCGCAAAACCTCTCTCTCTCACCACCCAGAATCAGAAATTCGCATTCTTGGTCCCTAGACTTCATTCCACATCCAATTACCACTCTCAGCATGCGCTTCTCTCTTATCGCGCTTGCAGTGTTCGCTGCTGCCTCCGCCGCCATGAAGCTGAGCGACGTGCCCGGCACCGAGGCCAATCCCCTTGAGCTAGACAGCAACTACGTAGTCCAATGGACTTATGACGAGTATGTTTCTTCTTTAGATGGGCCACAGAGACCGTGATCACGGATACTAAGATATTTTGGCACAGAAACGAGAGAGACAAGCCCGTCTGGGTGGCTCTCTCGCACTACGATCAAGGCGGGTACTCGGAATGCTACCTGCTCTCCGGCCAGCTGCGCGCCGGGGACGGAAGCTTTCGCATCCCAACGCACCCTGTCTCCCAGCCGGTTACCCAAGTGTACGTTTACATGTCTTATCGTTGCTCCGATGACTACCCTCAGTTATTGGAGCTATATGACGCAAGTTCTGATATCGACCCCCATCCCTGGCATATAGTACCGGATATCGGTTCCGCCTGCACCAGACCAACCAATGCGTCGCCAACCCCGGCATCGAGGACCAGACGAACCAGTTTCGCCTCAGGCCTTACTACCCACCTACGAACTAGGCTTCTTTCTTGGGCCGGTGAGCTGGGGTGAAAGTGGTTCGAGGGCACTAGGTCTTGGGTCTCTGTTCATCCACAGGTTATGCTGGGAAGGTCGCTTACAATGGAGCCTGGTCAACATCTATTCCAGGTATACAGTCTACGCTGTCGATACCTGTTCATTGGAATAAAGGATTGTGGATGGTCTTGATGTGTTTTGTCTGCTTGGAATCTGGAAGAGTGATGTCGGGAACCATGTGTTATCGAGAGGCTAATTCAATTGCGAAAGCTTGGAAGAACTGCTACTTCGTGACAAATTATACATAATGGTAGCAAGGGTGCTCAGAATCATAGATTAAGTGCGGCATATGATCTTCCCTACCCCTCCATTGTGAGGATTAGCACACCCCAAAGGGGACGATGTTGCTGTCTAAACGAACTGACCCCTTGGTCTTAGCCCCTTGGCCCAAGCCCCGCTTGGCAAAGCCCTTCCAGATGGCACACTGATTGGCCCCCTTAGTTAGCGCCCTATCGGCATCCAGAATGGCGTCCCGGGCTTGAAGAAATGTTGGATTGCAAGGTTGTCTAGTAGACTTGCGTTAGTTGTTGACCAAGGCCAGAAAGAGCGAAGAAGACGGTTACTCACAGCGCCATCGCATCCATCACCAGTTTCATAGCAAGATACCTCCCGTCCGTGGGCACCTTGTCGCGGAAGACCGGCTTGGGGCCATCGTTCTTACCGTATCGATCGATTAGATTCCACAGGATCTCGTACAGTATGCTCGCCCACACCGACCCCGCGTCATGGAGCATCAGCATCCCGTCCACGCTGGCGTAGGTGAGCGGGTTGGTGGTCAGCGAGGTCGAGTAAGGGTAGAGACGCGACCCCTGCCCCGAGGCGTTGGACGCCCAGCCACCGAAGGCGTAGTCGGTGGCGCGTGTGTCGTGGGGCTTCAGGCGCATCGCGGTGGCCATGAAGTCGCTCCACCCTTCGCCCATGCCGCCGGCTTCGAAGGCCGACAGGCACCCCGAGTTGGCCGGGCCACCCGTCAGTCGCGTCGACAAGCCATGCGTGTACTCGTGGATGACCATCCCCGCATCGAAGTCGGCGTCGCGCGGCGGATCCGAGTGAGTGAAGATGTTGATGCGCATGTGTCCTGGTTCGCCGTCGGGAGGAGCCTTGAAGTACGCGTTGTTGTACGACAGCCCGTCCTGCGCGTTCAGGATCACGTAGTCGTTCTCGCGGCCGCCCCGGCCGCTGTTGTTCCATTGGAAGTTGCCGGCTTTCTCGGTGAATCCCAGCGTGTAGAGGAGGTCGTGGTAGGTGTTCGCTGTGTAGAGTAACTGGGTGATGGATGCGTTGACGTACGCATCCGGAGGGGACATGGTCGGTGAGTAGGCGTACTCGAACTTGGAGGCTGGGCTGCTGGGCCGATAGTTGTCCATGTACGGTGCCAGACCAGAGGGATTGGACTGGGCAATCCCGTTGTTTCCTCGCGTAGTGGTGTAGATGGTGTTGCCATCTCCTTGCCAGGTGAAGGGAGAGGCGGTTTTATCCCACGGGTCGGTGACAGTCGTGCGTGCCCCCTCCGTTGGATCATTCAACCCCCATTCACTGCGAGAGCATTAGCTGATGTGTTTCTGTGGAATGAGAATCATAATTGGACTCTACCCACTAAACCTCGTAGGTAGCAGAAGAAGCATAGTCCACGACACCATGGACTGTCGCATTGGCGCCTGCATCCACGTATGTCAGGTACCAATTCGAGTCCATGTGCGCCTCGACTCTCCAAGTCAGAGCGAGACTCTCATCTGACTTGAGTAAAAAAACTAATCTTGCTTTGGGCTCAGTGATGGCCCCCGACGTGCCCTGGAATACGTGATTATTTGTCCCCGGAACTCTCTCGCACTTCAAATTGTCCAGGGAAAGTGCCAGGCTCAATGCTTTAGATGCACGGTCAAGGGCTGTCACTGGATCGATGACACCCTGCCTGAGAAGAGGGTTGCCGTGGGGAATCTTTCCAGTATAGAACGAGTTCCCGTACGAAAAGACTGTCCCATCTTTTCCGACCTATATAGATCGGTGTATTATAAATCATATACAACACGAAAGGCAGATCGCAACACCCACATTGACATTGAAGTCGGCATTATCAATGTCCATGTCATGGACAGTTTGTCGAAAGTGGACATGCGCCACGTCGTTCTCACCGATGTAGTGGTCATCAATCATGCGAAAGGCTGCCCCGGGGACGATGGTCTCGACAAGCCGCGTTGCAGTCTCCAGATAGTTGGCTTGTCCAGCTCGAGCAGCTAGGCGGATGTTGTCAGCCACCGCGTCAATTGAGTTCACGTAACTGGCCCGTGAGGTCAAACGTAAGGTATTCGGGTCTATAGCCTCAAGATTCAGGCTGTTGGATAGCTGTAATGGAAGAGCGAGCACGCACAAAGAAAGCGAAACTGCAACCATGATAGACGCCCACATCTCGATTGTCACGACTTGAAGCAGAAGATCAAGATGGACGGAGCTGGGCCGAGTCAGGAATTATCCCTTCTCTTCCACATCCTCGATTCACTCGATAGGAACACATGAAAGTCTTTTAAACGCTTAGAACATATGGTCATCCTCTGCAGTCGCTAGACCGGATCCTATCTTGTCCATGCCCTTTAGTTCTGCAAGATGTCCTGCCATCGTGCTCGATGAAGCCAGGCCATAATAACGATAATTCCATATCCAGCGAGTTGCAGGAAGCATCTGGCAGCGACATCGCCTGTATCTGAAACTAAAGATATGCCTATGAGATAGAAAACTGAGATCACGCGGTATTACATGCGCATGTGCCTTTGCTGAAGCTTTTGTCCCTCAAGACATAGTCACACCAGCCAATCCCGTTTTGACATCCAGTGTAACCCATGGCTGACCAGGGGCTTTGCCAGGACCCGAGATCTGAAGAATGGTCTATTCTTCCAAAATCCGTTCTCTCTACCGCGGAGGCTTAGCACTCACTC